GTATTTTTAGTAGAGACGGGGTTTCACCATGTTGACCAGGATGGTCTCGATCTCTTGACCTCGTGATCCACCCGCCTTGGCCTCCCAAAGTACTGGGATTACAGGCATGAGCCACCGCGCCCAGCCAACCTGGGGTATTTTTAAATAAGTATCTATGAGACCTTGTAAACCAGCCCACCAGAGTTTCATCTAGAAAGTCACTGGCCGGTCCCCATGGGCGGCTGCAGCAGTGGCGTGTATCTTTCATTTGTTGCTTTAGCTGTTCATAGATGGTCTGCTTTACTGATACCAATAGCTCATGATGTTGTGACCTTCTGGCAGTCAGGCAGCCCGTATGATCAGAGGACTTGCCACTCTCTGGGCTTGCCTTTCAAATAGCTCACCATTTAAGTCCCTGTGCAGTTTCAAGACCTGAGAATGGTGGGGGATCAGTGGTAATAGAAACAGGGTCACTCAAAAACCATTTCTAGTTTGCCTGTAAAATATACAATATGTTTGTTTTGCTAACTTTTGGAGGGGTTTGGATGAGGGAGATTTTCCTTTTGAATTATATTTGGTTGGTTGAACAGGCGTGAAAATTATCATCACTTCGCAGAGCATACATCAGCTAGTGGAGAGGGAAGTGGCATGCCTTACAGGTTTGCTAAGTATAGGAGAAACCAGTCTAGAAATTACAAGTGAATAATCCCCAAAGCAGCTAATGAAGAATTGGCTATAATTCAGTTTGTTTTTTATGAAATAGATGAGTAATTGATGGTGTGACAAGTGTATTATGCTAATGGAATCATTTAATATCTTATGTTAACACCCACCTAAAAGGAATACTAAGTTAATTGATGTCTATTTAAGGAAAACCCTGTAGTGGTGTTGAATGTCAGAACTCAAGATTTGGTTGCAGCTACTCCTTCAGGCTGCCATTCCAGTTTCAATTTGACAATTTTTTCATCAGAATTGTTTAACACTTTCACTCCATTTGAAGCTTTTTTTTTTTTTTTTCCCCTGAAACTTGTATAATGGCAGGTTGAGGACTTTACAAGTGTTTATGAAGAAGTTGATGAAGAACAGTATTCGAAGCTGGTTCAGGCACGCCAGGATGATGACTGGATTGTGGACGACGGTAGGTGGGGGGATGTTGCTGCCCAGGCATTGTGTTAGGCGCCTCTTGTAGATTCTCATGTGGTGGAGTTGCTGCTTTGCCTGGGCAAATGTAAAACACTGTTAGGATCTTTGGTTTGGATTTTCCATTAATTATTTGAGGATGAAGAAGCAGAACAGTAGGATGTTTTTTTGGGGATATTTAGGATATCCTCAAGGATATAGTATGAATACCTCAGGATATAGTATGAATCCTCCAGGTAATGGCTGTGTAGAATTGGGGGGAGCTCCTTGTCTGTGGGGCCAATGCACCACACTTGGAATTAAGGAATGCCAGTTCAGGATCCATCTTTCCTGCTTTCTAATCCTATGTACGACCTTGGACAAGTCACTTGATCTCTGCATCTCAGATTCTTCATCTGTAATACGGGGATAAGAAAACTACCTTCTCCCAGAGCTGCTGTGAAGAGTGTATGAGGTTCTAGGTATGAAAATGAACTTGGTCAGTAGAAAGCACCGTACAAAGGCTGGTCCTAATGTTCCTGTGCCCCTTCTGAGAGCTCAGTGGTTCTCACTTGTAGGGTCTGACTTCTTGACCATGTGAATTCTGACCACAGGGAGCATATAGATTGTGCCTGTGACTATTTATGTTTCTACTTCTGTAATTGAATTCAGCTATATGGCCAGTTTTCCCTTGTAGACTGGGATGTCTCTGGGCTAGTGGTAATCTTGATTCTTTTACTTTTTATTCTTCTGGTAGAGTAAAATTGCTGTAAAGCATCCTATTGTGGCAGACTTTGATCTATGGGCCAAATCGTTTCCTGAGTTCACCCTGCTAGGTATAATATATATCCTTTGGTTTTTGACTCCATACCTGCTGTGTGGATGCTGTGCATTGTCTGACACCTGTGTGAACAGAATTCTGCTACACTTAAAAATAGTACAGGCCATGAAAACATATGAGCAGGTATAAAAGGTTTTTTTGGTCATGGCTAAAATATTATTGGCCACTTTTAGAAATTTGATCCCAGTATTAAATTTTGTCCCTGCAGATGGTATTGGCTATGTGGAAGATGGCCGAGAGATTTTTGATGATGACCTTGAAGATGATGCCCTTGATGCTAATGAGAAAGGTATCTACCTTTTGTTTTCCATGGTGTTGTTTTGAGATTTAAATAAATCTTTAAGATTGGAGATGACTTAGTTCCCTGATAGTTTCCTTTTGAGAGAAGGACCTACTACCGTTATTTTTAGGTACAGAATATGTCCTAATATGGAGAGAAGCATAGTTATGTGGAAAATTAAACATAAAAAGCAGAAACAACACCAGGAAATGAAGTTTTATGTCTCTATTATTCAAGGAGTTTGGTCTTCACTTATTTTGAAGTTTTCAGTCCTGTGGTCATTTAAAACTTGCTGATTTTGAGGGCTGCAACAGTGATCTCTTTTAATTCCTACTGAAGTGATGTACTTAGAATTTTAGCTCTTTGATAATTGTATAGCACAGTAACAAGGTTTAGAACTGGAGTAATCAACTTGCTTTGTATAATCGAAATTTAAAATACTATGGATGAATGTGTCAGATTGTCTTAGCTGTACAATCATTGGCAATTTTTTTTTCTTGAGTAAACAAGCCTGATTTAGTTCCTGTAAAATGAGAATGGAAAATTATCTTCAGTATTTTTTTTTTGTTTAGTTTGTTAATTAGTCTTCTACTACCAAGTGGTAGATTGGGGGTTAGCAAACTATGGCCCACTCACAACCAGTTTTTTAAAAAAACGTTTTGTCGAGATATAATTCACATGTAAAATATGCAATTCAGTGGCTTTTAATGTAGTCACAGTTTGTACAGCCATAACCACAATCAATTTTAGAACATTTTTGTTACCCCAAAAGGAAATCATGCCTGTTTTTGTGTGGCCCTCGAGCTAAGAATAGTTTTTACATTTTTAAAGGGTATTTTAAAAATAAAGAAAAAATGCAAAGAATATGTAGCTGTGTAAGACAAATTTATGTGCACGAAGCCTGTCTGGATCTTCATTTGCAGAATAACATTTTGCAGCATTAGTTTTCTCTCTCCTTCCAGCCACATACACAGAGACTTTTTTGCTCAGTGAACTTTTTGAACTTTAGCAATGACCTCCTAAGAATAAGGATACTTGACTACTTAACCATAATAACATTATCATGGTATTTTCTAATATATTGTCTATATTAAAAGTTCTCCAATTAGCCCAATAGTGTCTTTTAAAGCTATTTTTTAAAAATGCAGAATTGATTTTAGTCTTGAAGTCTCTTTAGTCTTTTTTAGTGTAGAACAGCAACACCTCCCTCCGCCCCCGGTCTCTTTTTGTGTTTCATCCCTTTTTAAAGGGATCAGGCTGGTTGTTTTGTTGAACATCCCACAATCTGAGCTTTGCCTGACTGCTTCGTTGTGCTTAGACTTGAGTTAAATATTTTGGCAACAATAAATAGTTACTTATTTTTTGAGACGGAGTCTCACTCTGTCGCCCAAGCTGGAGTTCAGTAGCACAATCTTGGCTCACTATAACCTCTGCCTCCCGGGTTTAAGCGATTCTCCTGCCTCAGCCTCCTGAGTAGCTGGGACTACAGGCATGTGCCACTGCGCCCGGCGAATTTTTTGTATTTTTAGTAGAGACAGGGTTTCACCGTGTTAGCCAGGATGGTTTCGATCTCTTGACCTTGTGATCCACCCACCTTGGCTTCCCAAAGTGCTGGGATTACAGGCGTGAGCCACTTCGCCCAGCCTGTAAATATCTATTTATATGTTTAAAATAAGTTTTGTCAACACCTACAATATAAATAAAGTTCTGTCCTTCCCACTGATCATAACAGGGGCGTATGTCACTTGTACCATTATTGTTGATACTAAGTTTGATCTTTTGGTTAAGATTATGTTTGTCAGATTTCTTGCTTATAAAGCTACTTTTTTCCCTTTTGTAGTTAATGCAAAATAGAGGGTGATAATTTGAGACCATGTGTATATCTCATTTCCCCATGAATTTTTACCCACTGCTTTTAGCATCTATTGGCGATCTTTTCCCTTCTTTTAAAAGTTATTGCTTCAGACTCATGGATTTCAAAAAGATTTACTGTTATAATTCATTAACCATTATTATCATTTTTCCTTTTTATGTTCAAATTATCGCAGATTTGGCTGGTGGGAGCCCTGTTAAGCCAGCTTCTGTGTTCTTTTGACATGGCCCCATCAGTCTTTGAGCACTTCCTTGCTTTCTGGGCCAAAAAGTTAAGATGTTCCAGGTTTAGCTTGTATTCTTCCTGTCCTAGACCTGGAACCAACCATTTCTCCCAAGAGTCCTGCTTCCTTTTAGTAGGGAATGGTATCCAGATATGGGAGATGGATGTGCTCATTGCTAGTAGGGTGTAATGGCTTCTAGGCCCTTTCAGTGAACAGAACAAGGAGGTTATATATATGTTATGAGTTCATACGGATATATTTGATTGGTTCAAATCCAACATCACTGGGCTCTTTATCTTACCAATTCTATATTTGTATCTGCCTTCACTCTCAATGAAAACCTTTGTCTTCTAAAATATACACAAAATATTATCAGAATCACTAAATGAATATGTCTATTAACAATCTTTCAAGTAAAGTTTATGATTTCTCTACAGTTTTATTTGTTCTTGGTATTTTTCCTAAGGGTCTATAGTCAGAGTATTGTGTTCAGAAGCTATGTAAAGTAATTTTTTAGTGTGTGTTGTATTAATTTACTATATAGGTTCATTTTTTGTTTGTATTCAAATTTCAGTTTTTAAAAATCCTTTTAATTTTACTTCCGAATATTGCAAAACATTTATATGATTTAAAAATCAAAATGAGTAACCTTTTTAAAATTAGTTTCCGGCTTATTACAAAATAAGCATATGTGTATTTTTTCTATGTGGGATGTTATTCATTCATTCATTCATTTGTTAGTTAAATTAGAATCTGTGAACGATCTTCCTGGTTCTGCCAACCTGTATAATTTGGTACCATTTGGTAGCATTGTGGTTAATTGTGTATTTGTAGTTTGTGTGAGTCCATGAAGAAGAGAATGAGCTCGTGTTCTACTTTCATCTCCCTGAACTGAGGAGGCCTGTGTTGAGTTATGGTTCTGTTGTTAATTGTCTGTGTCATTTTGAACTACTCCCATTACCTGTCTGGACTTGGGTTTTTGTCAGCTGCAAATTATGAGGTTGGACTGGATAGTGAGCTTCTCAAAGAAAGGACTCATGTCCTGGTAATCTCAGTGCTAATCACAGTAGTGGACACAAAGAAAGCATATAGTTTTGTTGAATAAACGAGCCATCTCTGTGTTTCTCTAGTCATATTCTCTCTTCCCAGTAATACATAAGTGAAGAGAATGGTTTGATCCAGAAGAGAGGTAGTCTTAGAAATTTTTATTTTGTGCTTTGCCACCACCATTCACCCGCAAGTCCCTACTGATTCAGTGTCCCTCACTTGGAGCCCATTAAGGTCACAAGATCTTAGGAAGGAAAACGGACTTCTGCAATGCACTTTAAAGACTTATAAGAAATTATTGAATTTTCTTAGAAATAAAAAGTCAACTCTATGGTGTGGATTTAATTCCTGGCATGTTGTTTTCAAACAGAAAAATGGCTGGGTGTGGCAGCTCACGCCTGTAATCCCAGCACTTTGGGAGGCCAAGGTGGGTGGATCACCTGAAGTCAGGAGTTAAAGATCAGCCTGGCCAACATGGTGAAACCCTGTCTCTGCTAAAAATACAAAAATTAGTTGAGTGTGGTCATGGGCATCTGTAATCCCAGCTACTCAAGAGGCTGAGGCAGGAGAATCTCTTGAACATGGGAGGCGGAGGTTGCAGTGAGCCGAGATCACACCACTGCACTCCAGCCTGGGTGACAAGGAAAAAAAACACACAGAGAAAAATATCAGCCAAGTCCCAATGAAGAAAAATCAGCAGGAAAATGCAATAAAACAGAAACACTAAATTGTGGAAGAATTTCACCTCAAATGTTTACTTGTATACATCTTTTTATCCTTCTGTATGAATCCTACTAACCTACACTGGTGAGATTAAATCCCTCTCATGAAGCCTTCCTTGCTATTCAACCTCCTGTTGACCTCCTCTTTTCATAAACTGTTAAGACCTGATTTTTATTAATTTAACATTTTGACTATTAATTATATTTTGCTTTCAAAGTGCTGCAGGTGATACAGATCTCCTGTCTCACATTTGCCACAAATATCCTACAAACCTTTTCACAATCTTAGGCACACGAAAATACTTTTTTCTTTTTTACTGTGGTAAAATGTGCATAACATAAAATTTACCACGAATGACATTTAATATATTCACAGTGTTTGCAACCATCACCATCATCTTGTTCTAGAACATTTTCATCAGCCCAAATAGAAGCCCCATACCCATTAGCAGTCACTCTCCAATCTCTCTTCCCCCAGAGCCTGACAACCATTAATCTGCTTTCTGTATTTATGAATTTGCCTATTTTTGACATTTCACATTTGATATAAATGAATCATGCAATATGTGATCTTTTGTATCTGACTTCTTTGACTTAGCATAAGATTTTCAAGTTTCACTCATGTTATAGCATGTATCAATACTTCATTCCTTTTTATTGTTGAATAATCTACTCTGTGGATGTACTACATTTTGTTTATTAGTTGATGGTCATTTGGATTGTTTCTGCCTTTTGGTTGTTGTACATAGTGCTACTATGAACATTTGTGTACAAGTTTTTGTTTGAATGCCTGGTTTCAATTTTTTAGTGTACTAACCCAGGAGTGGAATTGTGCATATGTGTTTTTATTTCCTTTTCTTTCTCTCTGTCTTTTTTTGAGACAGGTTCTTGCTCTCTTGTCTAGGCTGGAGTGCAGTGGTACCATCTCAGCTCACTGCAGCCTCTGCCTCCTGGGCCCAAGGTAGCCTCCCACCTCAGTGTTCCAAATAGCCAGGAATACAGGTACATCTCACCATGCTCAGCTAATTTTTTGTATTTTTAGTAGAGACAGGGTTTCGCCACGTTGCCCAGGCTGGTCTCAAACTCCTGGGCTCAAGCAGTCTGCCCACTTTGGCTGCAGAAAGTGTTGGGATTACAGGCATGAGCCATGGTGCCCAGTCTCTTTTCTTTCTTAAACAAAAGATAATATTGGCCAGGCGTGGTTGCTCATGCCTACAATCCCAGCACTTTGGGAGGCCGAGGTGGGAGGATCACAAGGTCAGTAGATCGAGACCATCCTGGCCAACATGGTAAAACCCCGTCTCTACTAAAAATATAAAACTTAGCTGGGCATGGTGGCACATGCCTGTAATCTCAGCTACTCGTGAGGCTGAGGCAGGAGAACGGTGTGAACCAGGGAGTCGGAGGTTGCA